AGTTTTTTTTTTTTTTTTTTTTTTTTGAAGAAATGTTTGTTATTGTCGCACTTTTGTAAACTTCAGAAAAAATGAGTAGACTGTAGTGCAATGAACTTGTTAACTAGAGCGGCTGTTATTAAAAGAAAGAACAGAATTTTTGAATGGTGATGCTCAGTTGTTATGCAACTTTTATTGATAAAAACAGCTTGAATTCTTGAGTTCTCTTTATTTCATCTATAGTAGCCTATTGTTCTGTCCAAAGTCACAATGAAATAATTGAAATGTGCAACTCTGAATAGTTGTCAAATTTCAACGATTTTGGTTAGGGTGTTTTCAGTAAAATGTGATATTCATACTTACCTTTTTTTTTTGTGCATGCCTTGGGGTGGGCTGTTATTTTGCTCAGGAAGAATGTCTCGTGTTCGGAATTTCAGCTCTCATGGAGGAATGGCTAATGATGATTACTGGATCACCATGAATCGATATGATGTCAGAAACCCCCGTCAGATGGCAAGTAGGAGCAATTATTATGATTATGGCTATAGCAACCATTTTGAATTCTCAGGACAGTATAAAGAGCCGGTTGATAGGTCTATTTATGCGAGGCCTGATATCTCAAACTACATCAGGCCTCATAACTCTCAGTCCTTTAAAAGGAGGAAGTTTTCTGCTTCACGTTGGGAGGATAGTGGGAGGTACCATTGGCAGGCGCGGACATATGATCATGGACCTTCAATCTATAGCAATTTGGTCCATCCTCCTCCAAGATCCAACAATGATGTCTCTACATCTGCCAGCTGTAAAAGAGATCGCTCAATAATGGAAGATGATGAGCCTTCTTTCATGTCCAGGGATGAGATTGAGAGATGTTCACCTTCAAGAAAAGATGGTATTGACACGCTACGTGAAACACATCTGCGGTACACATATTGTGCCTTCCTTCAGAGTCTTGGTTTGCACCTTGAGTTGTAAGTAATCTAAATCTCTGATAATTACTTAGTTCAGGGAATGCACTTATTTATTATTTTACCAGTAAAATTATATTTGAGGTTTCCTCCCATTTATGGGCCTTGTGGATTGTTAACGCTAGTCATTGTTTCTTGCAGACCCCAGACTACCATTGGCACTGCAATGGTTCTATGCCATCGGTTTTTTGTTCGAAGATCACATGCTTGTCATGATAGATTTGTAAGTTCTTTTGTGTAAAGGCTTGTAAGTGTCTAGAAGAGTAATGTTTACATTCATTACTCTTGAAATATAGTTAACTTCTAGATTCTATGTTTGTTTTGTGTAAAGGCTTGCCAGTGTCTAGAAGAGTAATGTTTACATTCATTACTCTTGAAATATAATTAACTTTTAGATTTTATGTTTGATGCAGATTAAACTTGTAAATTTATGGATCGATGTCTCTGTTAATGAAATTCCTTTGGAGAGAGTAGTTCTTTATGCTGCCTACATTTGTTGCTGTAGTCAATGATAGATTTGAGAAATTTTCTACTATTTTCTCCTCTTCTCATTCACTCTCTTCTGTTTTATCTATATCCCTATGTGGATCAGAAGTGCTTATTTGATGATCTTTGTCTTTTCTCATCCAATTTTAGCAGAAATCATAGAGTATACCAATCTAGTGTTCATGTTGATTGTATCAACTTATTATGCACCCTTGTTGCATGAGGTAATTATTTTGCATTAATTGGTTCATTTTGTTTACACACCACTGTTTCAGTTGATTGCCACTTCTGCACTCTTCCTTGCTGCAAAATCCGAGGAGACACCACGACCTTTGAACAATGTCTTGCGAGCTTCATCTGAAATTCTGCACAAACAGGATTTTAATCTCTTGTCTTACAAGCTTCCTGTTGTAAGTATCCTCCGAACTTTTAATTGTCTATTATATTTTCTTGCTTACCGTGCACGTAGCTTGTTCTTCGTGAAGTTTTTGTTTTTGTTTTTGTTTTTTTTTTTTTACAAAGATATGCTAGAATACAATCACATGATTTCTGAGGATAAAAAACCTTCATTTCCTCTTTTTCACCAATGTCCATATGTTTTTGTTCATCCGATTGGGTTTCAATATGACAAGTGGTTGGACTATAATAATAATAGTCCTGATAAATCGTTAAGAGTGTGATAATCACGAAACTATAGTTCTTATCAAAATCACTATACTGTTGCTTAGATACTAATCAATTTTGTTCATGGTTCTTTTTTCTTTGCAAATTATAAATACAATTGTAATGACATCTTAGTATGCATCTTGAACAGGATTGGTTTGAACAATATCGTGAAAGAGTAACAGAAGCTGAGCAATTGATACTGACTACTCTAAACTTTGAACTCAACGTTCAACATCCCTATGCTCCTCTTATGTCTGTTCTTAATAAGATAGGTCTTTCACAGTCCATGTTGGTGAATCTTGCACTGAACTTGATCAGTGAAGGGTAAGTTCATCACTTTATTTATTCCACCTGTCCATTTGATTTTAAGAAAATTTACAGGCAATATGTTTGTACCTGCAAGATAGAGATCTTTCAATTTATTGCTTCTCTGCAATTATTTTGTCCTTGCAACTGCTTACAGTAATCTTTCTGGATTGTCTAGTCTATTTAGCAAGCATGTCCTTGCAATTGTGAAAAGTAGGTCAATGATGTAACATTAAGAATTAGATTTGGGATATGTGGGTGCAAGAACCTCAATGGAATGACAAATTTCTTGAATTTTGGCGTTCATTGTGGCACAAAAGAGGATGATGCACTGGTGATCTTCTTTCCCCTCTAGGGATCAAAATGGTGTGTTACTTGTGTCAATTATTTTTTTGTTAGAACAAGCTACACTTGCACATTTATCCTACTGTGGATTATTGATTCTTCTGGCGTGCATATAATTTGCAGGATCTATGCTAGCATGCTCGCCTATTTGATATACTTATCTGGCGGATTGATATGCTGTTCTTCGAAACTTATGTTTTACAAGTGAAGTAAATTTAACCATGAATAAGCCCCATCGACTTGGTACTTGGTGCTAATGATTGCCAATGAGCCTACTGGATCACTTTCTATCCTTTCTTAACAAGAATATATAGTTTTCCTCCTCTCCCTGGAGCGTGCTCTCTAGGCCGCCATTAATTTGCCTTACCTTGAAAGAAATGGAGTCATTTCCTTATGAACTTTTTGACTCAGAAAGGCCTTTGTGTGGAATTGAATCTGCTATCCATTACCTTTATAACCTAGAGAACTGCTGCCAATGATTTTTGCTTTGTTCTTATTTCCCAATGACGGATGGTCGAGTCTGGTAGAAAATTTTTTCTGATCAACCTCTTTGGATGAACATCTATCTAGCACAGAATAAGTCACAATATGGATTTAGATCTATTATAAAAAAAAATTGGTCTTTCTTTTCAAGATTCAAGTGGTCCATATGACTCAAATATCATGTCTAGTCACCAGGTTCTTGATGTTCCATTAGCATGCATACAAGTAAGCAGCCCTTCAGTTGAAAACTTAAATTTGGGCCTACGTATGTTTGTAAGTTGTTTATTTTCTGATTGCTGTCTATGCTTGGTGAATTATCATTTGGTATTTTCTGTTAATCATTTTGAGTCGGGGAGGGTTGAACTTAAAATGTGGCGTTACTATAACTGGTTCAGGATTGGCTGATTCAGACAGGGATATGGGTTATCTTGATAGGCACGGAAAGTAAATTGTGGAAGATCATCAAAAAATTAAAATAAAATGATTTTGGGTCTCCCCCTCCCACGGAGAGAATATAAAATGCATGCAATTCTTATATAGGCGGCCAGCAGGTTCTTTTCAATTACTTTGTATGCCTCATTTTCCCTTTTATCCCATCCTTGATTGACAGATATGTAACTGAAACCTTTTGAACTTTATTTTTTTGAAGATGATGTTTTTTTTTTCTGTCGTTTGTGTTTTGTTTCCATCACAGTAAAACCTTAAGTTTTGTTGTTTCACACAAATGATGTAATACAATTATCTTGGAATGGTTTGCTTTTGAAATTTATTTGCTGATCTGTAAAATTTTTATGGGTTTTTTTTTCTCCCTCTTCTCGTAGAAGTTCCATTCATTGCACTTTCACATCTTCTTTTTTGGTGTAATCTTGCTCCTGCTTTCGGTCATTCATCTTTTAAAATCATGTAAATATCTACCTCTCTTAGCAATTTTGGAATGTTTAAGAAACCATGGTTTTTTAAACTCTGTTAACAATCATCATGTTGATGGACTTTCAACTTATCTGTCTTTTTTTTTTTTTTTTTTTTTTTTTTTTTTTTTTTTTTTTTTTTTGCTCGTTATCAAATAAATACGGTTCGCTTGATATTTGGCTTCCCTGGATTTTGTAAGCTATTAAAATTTTGAAAGTTTTGTAACTTTGTTTCAATCTCCCTCATTTTGTTTCCTATGAAGGACTTAACTCCCCTATCTCTATTTGGCTTTTATTTTTATTAGCCTATTCTGTTATTCATGGCCGTGAAACTTTTTAATGTATGTTGTAAAAATCAAGCACTGTTCTGTAGTTGTAAAGATGTATGTCTGGCCTATTTCATCTTGCAATGCCTAGTGGATGCTTCATTATTTGAATGAATCTGTAATTTTCTTTGTTCTGATTTATATATCGACCTGTCATTTTATATGTTATGATTTTAGGAAATCCCGAAGGTGTAAACTTTTGAAATATTCAGTGAGATCAAGGTTTTGCATTCAATTTGTTGAACTTAGAAATTGTGAATTATAATTCCACTCAGGTGATATTTGTTTCAATTTATGTCATCATTAGAATCACGATCATCAAATAAATGTGATCTGCTTGCTTGTCTAAAGGTAGCATTGTCCATAGAAACTCCACCTTCTCCCGCCCACCCACCAAAATAGAGAAAAACAATGTCCTACCCCCAAAACTGAGCAAAATTATCTTTAAGTTACAAACATTACAATAGATGCAACTTTCCATGGAAAGGCAGTTTTGTCAGTTGAAACCATGTCCTGGCCTAAAGACTCAGAGCAAATTGCCTTAAATCAGAGCAACTTTCCATAAATCCGAGCTCTTCACTACAGAGTACTGACAAAACAACTCATGCTGATAACAGAAAAATGTAATGAACAGTCCAGTATATCTTTATATACGCACATGCAATATATGTGTGTGTGGAACATTTATATTTTCTTCTCATGTGTATTTTGTACAACGGTGGGAATTTTGGGTTGTATCTGTAAGTGGGGTTAGCTTGCATGCTTTCAAGCACGATGAGATGAGAGTGCTTGATGACTATCCAGTCCAGATCAACATTTACGTCATTTAGAGCTGAAGATGGTGGGTTGCTTTGAGAAGTTTGATTGTTTGCAATATGCCACAACATCCTGTCTTTTAGTTTGTGTTGCATTAGTCTCTGGAATCAAAAGCCTCTGCTGCCAAATTTACCTGGGAGTTTGATGTATTCTGTGTATGGGGTTTAACATATATCATATGATAATGATATTATCGGCAATCTTCCAGAGATTCTTGGAAATATTCTACCTGAGTTGCTGCTTTTTAGTTGGTAAGAAAAAACAATTTACTTTTATTCATTTGAAGTGAATGCTTGAAAGTTACTTTGCTCCTACTCTTAGTTTTTATTGTTATATACAATTGTGTATTTGGAGCTGATGTATTTTTTTGTTTTGAAGTACTGTTAGACATTGCCATCCTATTTAGTAATGGACTCAGATGGTTTGTTTAACTGTTTGATGCGTTCTTCAACAAGTGATGGTGGTAGTGGCAGTTGTATGGAAGGCTGATATGTGGTTTTTTTAGGCTAAGGAGCTCACTCTGGCTTCAGTTTAAGCCCCATCAGATAGCTGCTGGAGCTGCATATCTGTCTGCCAAGCTACTGCATGTGGATTTTGCTCCTTATCAAAATATCTTGCAAGAGTTCCAAGCAACGCCTGCTATTCTCCAAGGTACCTTGAAGAACTTCTGAATATTTTCTCACGTCCTATTATGTGATTGCTTTAAAAATTAAGATAACACTAACCATTTCTTCATTTTATTTTCACTCCTAAAATCGTGTGTTCAAGTCCTAGCCACGTTTATAGAGCAAAAAGTAGGTCTTGTTTGAGATATCATCTTTTTAGTTCAATATGTTTTTATTATTGAAAGATGTTTTCTATAGTTATGATCAGAGTTCAAGATTATATTGTAGTTGGAAATGATAACTTACAAGTGGGATTTTAGTAGAGCAAATTTAATTTTGAGAATAAACATATGATCCATGGAAATAAGCTATTGAAAAGTAAGAGAAATTCTCTTAGAAAGATAAGTTACTACCCATATTTGTTGTAGAAAACAGAATATTAGTTTTGAAAACAATCTCTTGAGCCCAACCTCTGGGCATGGGCTTTGAAAGGATAGGGGTGTGTTTTTGCCAGGCTTGTTGTAAGAATTTTGTGGTTATAATTCTTGTTTTACTTACTCAGGGGCTTGTTTTAGAATCTCAATGTTTGTCTTTGAAAAGAAGCTCCCAAGTTATGACGTGGTTTGTTTTTCACTCATGCTAAAATGCAGATGTGGCCCAGCAGTTGATGGAGCTTTTCTAAAGTGAAAGCTCGATAATGATGAAGCTTTTAGTCTGGTGAAATGATGTGCAATGATGGGTAAACATAACATATTTATGATTTAACATGAATCCTGACAGTCTTAAATGGTTAAATCCTGACAGTTTCCTTAGGTTATGTAGTGACTGTTGGTAGTTTTAACATGAATGGTTCTCAATTCATTTCCATGTGCAAAACAGTGGTTTAGAAGTACCGTAGGAAGACCTGTACTCAATTGGCGAACGGATGGTTATGTTATACAAAATGGCTCGCTTCTGATCTGCTCTGCTCTCTCCTTTAAATGTCATTGCCTTTTGATTCCTTTTTTTATTTATAGTCGTTCCGTCGTACATCTATTCCATAATGTTAGAATAGTTGATCCGCAGATATTCTCTTTTTTGGGCTTTCCCTTTCAAGCTCCTTCTCATGGTTTTAAAATGTGTCTTCTAGGGAAAAGTTTTCACATCTAGAGAATGTTTTGTTTTCCTCTTCAACCGATGTAAGATCTCACAATCCACCTCTTTTGGTGCTCATAGTCCCCGTTGACATTGATACCATTTGTAACAGCTCAAACTTCACTAACTTCTTTGAGTTTTTCCTTCTAGGCTTTTCCTTTAAAACTCGTCTATTTGGGAGATGTTTTTACACCTTTATATACTTTGGTATATGTTTTCAAAATCTTAGTAATGCATTCTCTCCTCCGTAACTTCTCCATAAAAGTTATCACATGTACTAAAAGTGCAGCTCAAATAAATTTACCACAGTGTTCCTTTAAACAAAGTAAAACGTTACACAATAAGATGATGATAGTTGATAGGTTGACTATGCCTAGGGAATATAGGTACAACCTTCTAATGATGGTGTTGGAAAATCATCAAATTTTGCATTGAACTCAGTAGAGGAAGTGCGTTTTGCAAGCTAAACCTTGGCAATTACAAACCCAAATTCCAGGGGAAAAACCTCCTCCTTGTTGAATGGATGTTTTTCTCTTTTAACTCTTAGATTTTGATTTGGAATTTACTGAAAAATATTAATCATTTTGACTAGCATATCCGACACTACATGACAACGCCCTCTTTGAATTCTTTATTCTAAGATAACGAGTTGCATTCATAAACAACTTGATCCCTTTAAATAACGAGTTAACGTCATAGTGGAACTTTAATGAAATTGTTGAACTAAAGAAAAAAAGACTCATTAAATAGCGGTCTCCAAACTAAAGTCGTAGTTGATGCAAGACGATTTTATTTTATCATCGGTTTAAATGGTTTTTATTTTTGAATTTTCAAAAGATCTAATTTAGTCCACAGACTCAATAAATACATTTAAAATTAACCATCTGGCTATTATATTGCCACCTATGTTCACTTACTTAAACCTCTGTCTCAAGTAGTTTCATTGAGTGGGTAGCATCCTTTGTTAAAAGCAAAATAAAGGTAGTGGGCCAAAATAGAGGTCTATTTTGATGATATAGAAACACGGGTTTAAAGATGTACGAGCTAGTTTAATTTCACTTATTGTTTTCTCAAAATTATAGGGTTGATCTTCTTGACACAAAATTGTAATGAATACCGAAAATTTAATGTATGTATTAGACACATTTTAATATTCAATAACGTCTTGCATCAACTCTCACACGTGTAAGCATCTTCAAATCGTCAAACTTAAATGTTTGACCAATTTCAATGACATCCACTAATTTTTTTAAGCAATTTTTTGATCGTTGAATTTTAAATATGATTTTTTTTTTATAAAAATAATAAAAAATTTACGAAATTTCAATTTTTTTTTTAAAAAATTGTTTAATAAAATTCCGAAATCTTAGAACATCTAATAAATTTACGAAATTTCAACTGCGTATTTATATTATCTCATCATATTGAAAATTAGTTAAAACAAAATTGAAAAAATGGAAAATGGATGGAACACTTTAATATGTAAAAATAAAAATAAAAATTGACCAATGATTCAAAGCAGTGGAGAACAGAATTCTTTATCGGTGGTGAGTTGTTTGATTTTTAGTTTATGCCAAATCTTAGTTCTCAAATCTAATTTTTACTTCATTTTGAGTCGATTGAACGCAAGGATTCAGCCATCCACAGACATACTTGAATCCCCAAGTTCTTCAGCTTCAATCTCCTTTATAAGGATCCTGATTCGAGATTTTCAGGGGGTTCTTTCCTCTGGATTTCCTACTTTTTCGTTTTTAAACCCGTCCCATTATTTTGCGGCTGTCCCCGATTTTCAATCCGTAGTAAATTTCGAGTTTTTGAGTCTGATCGTACTCAAAATTAGGGTTCATTTGAGCTGTTTTTGGATTGGATCTTAGTCGATAGACCATGCTGTCGAATCAGCTGCAGAATGGGATGGATAGAGCAAAAAGCATGTGGTCTCGTCTTCCGGACACCGATGAAAATGAGGACGACCTCGTTAGCTTCTTGAAGAAGAACGATGGGGGCGGCGTCGAAAGCCTTGATTACGAGGTCATCGAGAATTATGCTTACTGGGATGAACAGGTACTTTCATTCTGGTCTGTTTCTGGTGATCTTTGAGTTTTAATTTCAAGGTTGGGCCTGCATTTATCTTGGATTACTTCAATTGTTCTTGTGATCTGTTGGAAAATAATTCTTTACTATGAAATGGGGCTTCGGCGGATGCTGTTTTTATGCTTCTCACGATGTGTTTTTGGTGTTCTGTAGGCGCAAAGAGGA